GCGGCCTAGGGCCCAGTGTGGCCCGAGCGCCGCGGGTCGCCTCCAGCGCTCCAGGACAGAGGAGCTTCTGGCGGTAGAGGCTGGTCTGAGCAGTCTGAACGCCCCAGGACTCCGAGAGCCTGGAAGCCGGGACCCGGAATGCCCCACACCGTTTGCCCAAGTGGCGGAGAGACCAGACGCAGCTCCACCGACCGAGTGCGGTTCCGAAGGCCCTAACCTCCGGCGACACACAGGAGGTGTGTCCAGTCCCACCAGACCCCCAAAGCCGTGCGGGAGCCCGCTCCTCCGGTCCGGAACCAGCGCTAGCAGGGGGTGCGCTCCCGAAGAGGCTGCCCAGCCAGGGCCCGCGCTCACCTCCACTTCGTCCGCCGGTTCTGGAACCAGGTTTTGACCTGCGCGTCCGTCATTTTGAGCGCCTTGGCCAGGGCTGCGCGCTCGGCCGAGGCCAAGTACTTCTGGCGGTGGAAGCGCTTCTCCAGCTCGCAGATCTGCAGGCGCGTGAAGGATGTGCGTGGCTTCTTCTTCTTGGGGGGCGTCCGGTTCTGATAGGGGTGACCTATACGGCGTGTTACAGTGAAGGGTGAGAGGGCCACTGGAGCGGGAGACAGACAGACGGCAGAGGCAAGCGGCAGAGCGTCAGGAGGCGTCCCAAGCCCGACAGCCCGCGAGTCAGTGAACACATTGTTGGGCCCCTAAGCGAGGCCTGCTCCTCCCGGCAGCCCTCTGCTCCAAGCCCCACAGGAAAGGGCCCCCTCCCGCCCAGCCGCCCTCCACTGCAGCCACCATTTAGCCTCCCTTACCCCGTCTCCAGAATGACAGCCTCTGACCTACTCCCCCTTACCCCCAGTGCAGTGTAAAAGGTCCAGAACCGTGCCTCCATCACAGCCCCACACGGCCCCACATATACAGCAGGCACAGGCCTACACATTGTACACCCAAACCAGTCGGCGTGCACACCTAGACCAGCCAGGCACAGGCACGCAGGCCACAACCAAACCCTCCCTCAGAACCCCATTCAGGCAGGTACCCCAGGGCAGGCTGCAGATCCCAGAGCAGGCCCTGAGCAGAGTACCTTGAACACACACACACACACACACACACACACACACACACACACAACCAGGACCGGGAAGTTCCAGTGTTGAGTTCATGAAGACTCCTTAGACTGCTGGCCTGGGTAGGGCACCAGGCCCCACCTCCCCAGGCCTAAGGAAACTGGGTTTAGGGCACTGGGGCCCCCTGAGCTAGGACCACAGACCCAGAAACAAGTCACTGTTCTGTGTCCTCCCCCCCACACACAGGCGCATGCAGGAAAACTTCATGGCCAGAACCTCAGGAACAGTCTACCTGCCTAAGTGGCCTGGAACAGAGCCGGGGGCCTGGGGTGCCTTGGGGTCCTCTAGCTGTGACTAGCTGTAGGCTCCGTCTTCCTCCATAGCTGCGCCACGCATTTAAACACACACACCTTTCACAGCTGGGCCCTGGCACCCGGCTCGGGGAGCTCAGCAGCGGCCTGTGCCTCCTGCCACCCTTTCCTCAGAGGCCCAATCGGCAAACCCTGCACACTTCTCAGCAGCTTTCCAGCAGGGCTGCAGGGCCTGGCTGGCAGGAAGAAGGAGGTCTCACATCCGGGGAAGGGTAAGGGGAGAGGGCAGTGAGGGCCTGGAGAAGAAGCTGAGGATGCGGGAGGGGAGGAAGGGGGAGCAGAGGGAGATGCCAGTGGAGGGCCTAGCAGAGTGGCAGGCCCCTGCGGAAGGCGCATTCATCCCAGAACCACAAGCCTATCACCGGCCAGCCCGGTGCATTATTCACCCCGAAAATCCCGGGGCTGGGTTAGGACAGAAAGCGGGACAGAATGCAAATGAGGTTCGCTAGTCCCGGGCAGCTTGGCGCTGGCACCCACAGTCCAGTAAGGAGGCGCTGGCTCGCCAGTCCCGGAACAAGGAGAACGGGAGAACGGGTATAGGGACGCGAGGTAGGAAGCTCGTTCCTTTCCTGAATCTGGTCCAGAGGCTCACCACCTCCTCAGAAAACATCAGCCAGGAGGGAAGGAACATTTGTTCACAGAGCAGCTCTTTCTCTGAGATCCTCGAGCCTCAAATATTGACAGAAAGTGTCCCTGAAGCTACAGCCCTCTTTCCCGCTGTCCCAGTGGGCCCGGAATACCGAGGGGGTCCACAGATCGCACCTCTGAACAGGGGACCTACCGGAGCTGTGAGGGGCCCAAGCGTCGCAAACTCTGAGCCGGGCGCCGAACTTGGCGAAAAGACCCGGCGCTGGACGCTCGGAGGGGCTTGTGGCCGCCGGCCGGAGGGGAGCAC